ATGAGGGGGAGCAGTGTAAACCCAAGACTCGTCGACGATGTTGCAACAACAACCTTACAAGTTCTCTCTCTCTCTCTTCAGAGGCCCCTACAGCAAATGTTTTCAATGCGAGGAACGGCCCATTAGTGTAAGAGAACCATATGGTAATCCTCATTTGTGCCAACATGCCGCTCCTGAGACGTCAACGCCGCGGCTCAACATGCCTGTTGCATCCTGTCAGTCCTACGTCGTGCAAGAAGATTTCAACATCGCGAGTTAGCGTGACTGCTCTGTCCTGACAACCCTTAATCGTGCCATAGCGCCGTTCCTGGGACTTCGACCATACGAATCCTTGAAACCGCTGCGCACTTATAAGATCAATACTCGCGGTGCTAAGGCGAGGGCCACAGGCTGAAAACGAGCCACCATCCATCCGTGAAGCTGCTGCTAACTTTTAAGACGAATGTGCGCGGCGCTATAGCGAGAACCACATTTTGAGAAAAGGGCCCGCCATCCATCCATGAAGCTGTTGCAAGTCCCCAGCTTCAGGACCAGAATGGCGAGGATATCACAGGCGAAATGCCCAGCCCACCCTACCAACACGTCTGGGGATGCGACGGGGAGGAGGTATCCATCAGGAACATGGGTTGAGGAGGAGGAGGAGGAGGAGGAGGAGGAGGAGGAGGAGGAGGAGGAGGAGGAGGAGGAGCAGGAAGAGAAAGAGGAGGAGGACGTCTGCTAGCACGGTGCAGCCGCAGTCTGCCAGACTGGCAGTTCAAAGAGAAGAGGATGAGGAGAAGGAAAACGCGGAGGAGGAGGAGGAGGAGGAGCAGGAGGGAGGACGGAGGACGGGGGGGACGGGGGAGAGGGAAAAGGAGGAGGATGAGGAGGAGGAGGAGGAGGAGGAGGAGCACGAGTGCAAACCCAAGACGCACCAACGATGCTGCAGTACATCCTCCCTCCAACTTCCCTCGTCACAGATCCCTACAGGATTTTCTTGCCATTGCGGGAAAAGCCCCATTGAAAACCAACCGTGTGAAAATCTTCAATGGTGCCAGAACGCCGCTCGTGGGACGCCAACGCCGCGAACCAACAGTACCGCTGCGGTCTGGCAAATCGTACCAGAACGCCATTCCTGGGAATTGAACACCGCGAATCACCTTGACTGTTGCGTCCTGGCAGCCCTAGATCCTGCCAGAACATCATTCATGGAACTTCAACCGTGCGAATTCTTGAACATCTGGCGCAATTTTAATTGGATGTGCGCGGCGCTGAGGCGAGAGCCACCGTTTGAAAACGACCCGCCCTCCATCGTTGAAGCTGGCGCAAGCTTTTAAGACGAATCTGCGTGGCTTTCAAGCGAGAGCCACATTTTGGAAACGACCCGTCCTGCATCTGTGGAAATAACGCAAGCTTTCAAGACGAATGTGCGCGGCGCTGAGGCAAGAGTCACACCTTGAAAAAGACGCGCCCTTCATTTTTGAAGCTGGTGCAAACTTTCAAGACGAATGTGCGCGGCGCTAAGGCGAGAGAGCCACATTTTGAACACAACCCGCCCTCCTCCTTTGAAGCCGTTGCATATTCGAAGCTTCAGGATCATACGTGCTGAGGAAGTGTACGGCGAACCGCCCAGCCTGCCCTACCAGGAGGAAGTATTCATAAGGAGAGGGGATGGAGGAGAACGAGGGCGAGGAGGAGGAGGAGGAGGAGGAGGAGGAGGAGGAGGAGGAGGAGGAGGAGGATGAGGACAACGCCGACGATCCCAGATTTAGTCCTGGACCTACCTTGGAGCGCGTTCTGACCAGGACTTCGAGGCGTATCCAGCCATGGCGGCGAAGGCGACACATTGCTCCCCAGGATGCCCCCAAACGGTCGCAAAACGTCGGCGACGATGGCGACGACGGCGGCGAGCCCCCCCGGAAAGTCTCGATCGCATTCCCGGGGACACTGCTTCCGTCCCAGACCTGTGTCTGTTGACCCTGGGTACCGAAGGTGCCCCCCCAGAGGCCAAAAAGGGATAAATGCCTTGATCGATCCATCTCCGATGGGGCGATCAGAGGTGGATCGATACGAGATGGATCGATCGGCGTGTACCGCTCGTTGTCTTAGTCCAGGAGCTTCAATGTTGACGACGACGACGATCACGACGACGATCACGACGACGACGAGGACGAGGACGAGGGCGACGACGAATTCGATGACGATGCCGACGACGATCACGACGACGACGATCACGACGACGACGACGCTGACGAAGACGACGACGACGATCACGACGACGACGCCGACGACGACGAAGGCGACGACGACGATCAGGACGACGACGACGACAGCGCCATCGACTACGGACAACGACGACAACGACAACGTCACAGTCGACGACTAACGGACGACGACATCGTCATCGACGGCGACGACGGCGCCTCGGCGCGGCGGTCGGACGTCGGCGCCTCTCCGCCCCGCCTCGCCTGCCGGGGCGCCGCCGCGCGCGGCCATGCACGCCAGCGGGGCGGCTCTGCAGGCCGGCCTGGAGGTCGTCGTCGTCGTCGTCGTCGTCGTCGCCGTCGTCGTCGTCGTCGTCGGTGACGTCGTCGTCGTCGATGGCGTCGTTGTCGTCGTCATCGGCGTTGTCCTCGTCGTCGTCGTGGCTGTCGCCTTCGTCTTAGTCCTCGTCTTCGTACTCGTCCTCGTCGTCCTCGTCGTTCTCCTCCGCCTGCTCCTCTTGCTCTTCCTCCTCCTCGTTTGCCTCCTCCTCCCCCTCTTCCTCCTCCTTCCTCCTTCTACTCTTCCACCTCCGCGGCTGCCGTGGGTGCTCTGAGCCAGTAGCATTACCCCCTGTGGTGCCCGTGCTTCGTGCTCTCGCCATGAATGAGCGATTGCTACTTCTGGGACGTCTATTTTTTGGCCAACCTCAGACTGCCCCTGCCCGAGCAGCGGTGCTCATCTGAGTACTTGCGGCGCTAACGCACGGCCGTCCACGTGGCATACACGCGGTGCAGTCGGCGCGCATTGGCAGGCCGACCCTGCAAAATCAAGGGCACCCTTGTGTCCTGTCCATCCCTTCTCATGTCCTCTGCGCGTTCGAACTGAATGGTGCCCTTGTGTCCTGCCATGTTGCCGTCGGAAGGGTCTCCTGTCCTGTAGCGTGTCCTCTCGTAGGCGCTCCGACTTCAAGGGAGACAAAACACCCGGACCGGACAATTGGCGTTTACTAAACGGCCCAGTGCGTTTACTAAACAGCCCTGCCCTGTTTGATTCTTTCCTTGGGTGCGTTTACTCAACGGCCTGTGTGTTGGGGTGGTTATTATCGGGGTGGATTTTCTGCCCTCTGCGCTTGTACTACGACATCAGGCACCTCGACCGGGTCTTCCCCTGACACGCTCCCGAGGCATAACCCGCTCGGCGCACGGCGGCCGCCGCCCGCGCGTGGGCCTGAGCTTGGAGGAGAGCGCGGCTCAGGAGGTGGTGCTTTTGCTCCTCCTCATCCTCGTCGTCCTCCTCCTCCTGGACCGTTTTCGCCGCTCTGTCTTCTGTGTGCTGTCCTGTCGGCTGTGTCTAGCAGGAGCTTGCAGAGGCAGTGCTTACCGTCTGGTTTTGCCATTCGGTGCATCCTGGATCTCCCTCCGCTGCAGGTTGTCTGTCCTGCTCTGTCAGGATCAGGAGGCGATTTCGTGGATGCCATTTTTTTGTTTGTTTTGTCTTGTCTTCGCTCTTATCATCCCCTTCCCCCTCCTCTTTCCCCTCCTCTCCTCCTCCTGCTTTTCCCTTCGCCTCGTACACGATGGTCAGCCTGATGTGCATCCAGGGCAAAGGGCTTCAGGAGCTTGCTCAACAAAATCTTCGGAAAACGAACATGGCTTTCTACGTCGTCTGCGCCGCCTCACCTTCCTTGCTCCATTTCGTGCCCTTCTTCGTGCTTAACGCCATGGGCATCCCCGACCAAACCATCTGCTTGATAGTAGCCCTCTACCAGGAAATGTGGGTTCAGGTGCCTTTCCGTGGATACAAGATGGCCGGTCTCTACCGTCGGAGGTGTGTCGAGCAGGGCTGCCCTGCCTCGGGCTTGTTGTGGGCTCTGGTCTTTGACCCTGTCCGGAGGAACCTTGGCATATTCATCAACTGGGAGCCTTCGCCGACGACGCGGGGAGTGCCTCCGCTGATGCTACAGTGAACGCCCCCCTGTCGAGGCCCGCTTGGACTTTAGCCCAGCTGGGCCTTGGCATGGCCCTGCGCCAGCGGACGGTAGTAGTCGTCCTCCCTGGCCTCTCTGGCCGAGCCGAGTCGTGATCGGATCTCGCCATGCCTTGCATCGACCCTTTCGAGGTCTCCGTCGCCGAGGCGGGCAGGTGTCTTGGGTCGATGCCGGGGGGGAGGCGCTCGTCTTCTTTCTTGGGCGGGCGCCCGCACGCGAGCGCCAGGGTCGGGCCAGCGAGGTGCGGATCTCGGGGTCAGGTCCGGACAGGGCGGCCCCAGCGCTCAAGAGGTCCGGCCTCTCCACCGTCTCCTTCGTCGGGCAGTTCTTTCTCCGATTCCCCCGTTGGCCCTCCAGGATGAGCGGCCCGGAGCTCGGCGGCCAGCGAGGGGGGAAGTGAGGAGGAGAAGGCCTTCTCAGAAGGCGGCGGGGCTTCTCAGAAGCCGTCGCGCCTTCTGAGAGGTTCTCTGCATCCTCGGGCAAAGGTTGCAAAACTTTACAGAAGGCTGGGGGACTTCCGAGCCTCCTGAGAAGGTCTTCTCCTTCTCACTTCCCCTCCTCGCTCGCCGCCGACTGCATCGTCGGCCAATTATTCTACACTTCCCCCGTTTGTCCTCCAGGATGAGCGGCCCTGAAAGCCATCGGCCGTGGTTTAGCGAAATCTATCCCCGCCGCTTTCTTGGAGCAGCCGCTGCTGTTCTCAATATACCAGCTTCGGCGCAGGAGCTCGCCTGCACGGTGGGGGCCAGCACACATCGAACTGCCTTGCACCCAAATATTTCCAGGACATTTTTTGTTGTTCGCTGAGTTTGCGACGACGGCGACGACTGTTTTTCGATGGCGCTTTCACCGTCTGGATGCATCAGGTACGTTTTACCAGTTGTGGTACAACTTCGAGCTCCGCCACTCCCTATATCCTTACCCTGGAGGGGTTGACCTTCAAGCCAAGGTCACACTTTTGCTGTGCCATTCGCTTGAAGGTAAGACTGGCCGTACGTTGTCCTTTTGTGCTCCCACCTCCAGGACCTACAGTCATATTATCACCCACAAGCTCCAGACACACATGCCTGACCTCGACGCTGAGCTCATACCTCGGATCTACAACATACTTTCCAGAGTTAGTATGTTGGTTCATCCATTTGTACTCGTGGTTGACTCTAAATCACCTTGAACGCATGGTGTACGTGTAGACGCTTCACTGCCCCCACCCTGCCAGGTTTAGCTTGCAAGGTGGAGCAGAGCGATAGTATGGCACACATGCTAGAATGCCACCTGTTTCCTTTTGATTACTCTTCATCCCTCTCATTCCTTCCTACTTCCGCCCTGTCAGCGGTCCCTCCAAACTTCGTGTCTTGGACTCTTTTCCCCTCAGACATCGACGTGCTAACCTATACTTCGTAGCATTCCGATCTCACATGGAGTGTGTACGGTGACCGTATGCATCACGCGCCAAGCCGCGTTCGTACGTTTTTTTGCCGCGCATGCCCATCTGCCTCCCTCCGAGTGTCCGTGGGGTCCCTCAGAGGTGGGGCCCTGCGCGCAGCTGTGCGCTACGTGGGTGTTCAAGCTCGGTGCGGCACGGGATAGCACCTGCGAGGGGCAACGGACTTCTCCCTTCTCCCGGCGGGGCCCCCGCTCTCTGCTCGGACTCCCTTCCGTGTCCGCCTTTCCACTGTTGGCCCGTGTCGCTCCTCCTCCTTCTCCTCCTCCTCCTCCTCCTCCTCCTCCTCCTCCTCCTCCTCCTCCCCCTCCTTCTCCCCCTCCTCCTTATAGATCACCCAAGGAAGGGCTACCCTAGGGCTACCCCTAGGGCCTACCCCTAGGGCTACCCTAGGGCTACCCTAGGGCCTACCCCTAGGGCTACCCCAGGGCTACCCTAGGGCCTACCCCTAGGGCTACCCTGGGGCTACCCCTAGGGCCTACCCCTAGGGCTACCCTAGGGCTACCCCTAGGGCCTACCCCTAGGGCTACCCTAGGGCTACCCTAGGGCCTACCCCTAGGGCTACCCTAGGGCTACCCTTGGGCCTACCCCTAGGGCTACCCTAGGGCTACCCTAGGTCTGTCCCCTCCTCCCTCCTCCTGGCCCCTCGTCTTCCGAGTCTCCGAGAGGGGGGAGGGAATCCCCGAGGGGGGGACGGTGTGCGAGGGGGGGTCCCAGAGGGGGGGTCAGCGAGGGGGGGTCTGTGAAGGGGGGGTCCCAGAGGGGGGGTCTGCGAGGGGGGGGTCCCAGAAGGGGGGTCTGAGGAGGGGTCCCAGAGGGGGGGTCTGCGAGGGGGGGTCAGGGGGGTCAGCGAGGGGGGGTCTCAGCGAGGAGGGGTCTCAGAGGGGGGGTCAGGGGGGTCGAGGGGGGGTCAGCGAGGGGGGGTCCCTAGAGGGGGGGTCAGCGAGGGGGGGTCAGCGAGGGGGGGTCAGGGGGGGTCGAGGGGGGGTCTGTGAGGGGGGTCCCAGAGGGGGGGTCAGCGAGGGGGGGTCCCAGAGGGGGGGTCTGCGAGGGGGGGTCTGCGAGGGGGGGTCAGCGATGGGGGGGTCAGCGAGGGGGGGTCCCAGAGGGGGGGTCTGTGAGGGGGGGTCTGCGAGGGGGGGTCAGCGAGGGGGGGTCCCAGAGGGGGGGTCTGCGAGGGGGGGTCTGCGGCGCCGGGGGGGGGTCAGCGAGGGGGGGTCGGTCGCCGGGGGGCGGCGCGGGCGCCCTGCCCTCGGAAGGGGGAGCGGGGGGGGGGGAAGCAGGGGATCGAGGGAGTAGCGAGGGAGGAGGAGGAGGTGGAGGAGGAGGAGGAGGAGGAGGGGGAGGAGGAGGAGGAGGATGAGGAGGAGGAGGAGGTGGCGGCGGAGGCGGAGGAGGCGGCGGGAGCGTCGTCGTCGTCGTCGTCGTCGTCGTCGTCGTCGTCGTCGTCGTCGTCGTCGTCGTCGTCATCGTCGCCCTCCGCCTCCCCCTCCTGCTCCTCCTCCCCCTTCTCCTCCTCTTCCACTCCCACTCCGCCACAAAGGGCATCAATATGTAATCCGCCAGCAAAGCAAGCAATGCCTTTAATGTCCCGCCCGCCCGCCCGACCAAAAGAATCAGCTTGTAATCCGCCACAATAGTAATCAACTTGTAACCCGCTGCCACATGGAATCCTTTGTAATCCGCCACCAAAGCAACCAATGCTTTTAATGTCCCGCCCGCCCGCCCGACCAAAGGAATCAGTTTGTAATCCGCAATAAAAGAGAATCCATTCGTAATTCGCCGCACAAGCAATCATTGCCTTCAATGTCCCGCCCGCCCGCCCGACAAAAGGAATCAATGTGTAACCTGCCACAATAAGAATCAGTGTGCCACCCGCCACGCATGC